CTCTGGAATTAATTGTTGAAGTGCTGACCGAAGAGTGGCAAAATCAAAAGAAGAACAGGAAAAAATGGGGCAGTTGGAATTGAAGCTGCTACAAGAGGCTCCCCCCATGGAAGGACATAAGCAGCTGCTAGATTCCACACAGAGAACAAGAAGGAAAGGGAGAACCCTTTCACAATGATGAAGTTTTTATGTTGGAACATTAGGGGTGTTTCACACCCCAATTCTCTCACAAGGCTAGCTCACCTTGTAAAAACTCATCAAATTTGGTGTTTTGCTCTTTTGGAATCTATGGTTTCTAAGAACTACTCTAATATTCTCAGAAAATTCCCCAAATTTTTTCATTATGCTAATTATAATAATATGATTTGGCTTTTTGCCAAATCTGAATTACAGTGGAAGATTATTCTGAACAACCCCCAATATCTTCATGTTCAGTTTGTGGTAGGTGCTCAAGTGGGTAATGCTACCTTTGTTTATGCCAGCAGTCTCCCAAGGCATCAGGAGTTGCTGTGGAAAGAACTTGCATTGAGCCCAATTATTTTCATCCTTTTGGGTGGGGGGGGGGGGGGGGGATTTTAATTGTATTGCCTTTCCTGAGGAAAAGAAAGGGGGCAGGCCTCCTTCTCAAAATGCTATGCTAAAGTTTAATGAATTCCTTACAGATGCTCAGTTATTTGATCTGGGTTTTCAGGGTCCTAAATTTACTTGGAGAAGAGGGAATCTTTGGGAAAGGCTGGATAGATTGCTGGGGAACTCATTATGGCTTCAAACCTTCCCTTATACTGTCATCTCTCACCTAGCCAGGTCTGGGTCTGACCATAAACCCATCCTATGTGCTATTCACAATGCTGTTAAGCCTGGGGGTTCACCTTTTAGATTCCAAAACATGTGGAATCTTCATCCTAATTTCATCAATGAAATTATGAATGCTTGGACCATTAATGATGACTGTGGTCCTTGGATAAAACTATGGAAATTACAAAAGAAGGTGGCCATCCACTTAAAGAATTAGAATTGGAATACTTTTGGTGATGTTAATGAGAACTAAAAAACTACTCAAATTAAGGTACTTTGCACTAAAGAAGACTTCCAAAGGGGCTTAAAAACTGAGACAGAGCTTCATAAATCTAATGAGGAACTACTTGCTCATAACACCTATCATGAAACCTTCTTGAAGCAAAAAGCTGCTATGACCAAGTTCACTGAGGGGGACATAAACTCCATCTTCTTTCATGCTTGCATAAATTTCAGGAGAAAATGTAATATGATCTTCGAGATTAAGAGATCTGAGGGTATTAAGTTAACTAAGGCTGATGACATTGCCCTTGATGCTGTCAACTTTTTTCAAGAACTCTTCAACCCCCATCCCACTACTAGAACTTGTATTGATGCCAATTTATTTGTTGAGGGGACTGACTATGTCAGTAAGCTGACCCTTGATCAAATCCCCTCTGAAGATGAGATTAGAGCTTCTCTTGATTCTATAGATGATGATGAAACTGCTGGCCCAGATGGCTACGCTGCAAACTTCTACAAAAGCTGCTGGACTGTGGTTAAGCAGGAAGTGTAGTCTGCCATTCAAGAATTTTTTAGAGGAAACAATCCACCCAGATACTTTACCTCTTCAACTATTACTCTTATTCCTAAGAACCAGGTTAGAAATAATTGGGGAGATTTCAGGCCCATTAGTTTAACTAATGTTATTTCCAAGGTCATAAGTAAAATTCTGGTCTTCAGGATTCAACCTCATCTTCAAAAACTTGTTATTGCTAACCAAACTGCCTTTATCAAAGGAAGATCTATCTCTGATAACATTTTGCTAGCTCAAAATTATACCAAGATCTAGATAAAAGCTACAGGGGGCAATCTGGTCTACAAATTAATGTTATATATAAATTAGATATTAAGAAGGCTTATGACACTATCAAATGGAATTTCATCCTCAAAACCCTTGCTGCTAGGGGCTTTGCTGAAGGCTTCACTATGTTGATCAAAACATGGCTTCTCTATAACAACCATTCTGTACTTATCAATGGTTCTTGTCATAGCTTCTTTTCTGCTTCCATAGGGTTCAAACAAGGGGACCCCTTGTCCCCTACAATTTTTATTTTGGCTATGGATTATTTCTCTAGATTGCTAAATCAATTGTTCTCTAGCTCCCCTCATCTAGCTTATCAGCACAAATCTAATGTCTGTATCAGTTATCTAGCTTATGCTGATGATGTCATTATTTTCTCTAAGGCTACTAATAATGCTACCAAAATGCTGTACAAGGCCCTCAAGCATTTTCAGCTCACCTCAGGTATGGAGTTAAATCTTCCCAAATGCCAATTTTTTCCTAGCTCTAACATATCTCCACAAATAAAACATTGGATTACTAGTTACACAAGTTTCCACCTGTCTTCTTTGCCTATCAAATACCTGGGTGTTTTATAAATCAAGGGCAGATACAATAAAATCCAATTTAATGGGGTAATTGATAAGATTAAGAACCAACTACAATGCTGGACCAATTCTTTCTTGTCCAATGGTGGGAGGATCATTCTACTTAAAAGTATTCTCACTGCCCTACCATCTTATGTCCTACAAATGTTCTCTATGAAGAAAGGTACTCAGATGCTGCCGGGGAGAATGTTCAACAAATTTTTTGGGCTGATAAGAAGAAACAAGTTCATTGGCTCCCTTTGCAAAAGCTTTGCAAACCTTACTGGGTTGGAGGTTTGGGTTTTAAAGATTTTTAGCATATGAGTTTCATTAACTTATGCAAACTTTGGATTGAATTTAGAGCCCAAGATAGCCTTTGGGCTGTGTTTATGAAAGGGAAATACTGCAGATCTACTCACCCTGGCCTGGTTAACAGAAAGCTGCGTGACTCTAGACTTTGGGGTAAGCTGTTAGAGGTTAGAGAACAAGCTAAGGAGACTTTCATTTGGGATCTTGGGGAAGTTCAAATTAATTTCTGACTAGATAGGTGGACTTGGAATTATGAAATAATCAAAGGTTCTTCCTCTATCCCAAATATGCATGATATGGTTAAAGATTACTGGAATGGTAATCAGTGGAATTATACCCTTCTCTCTAATATTCCCAACTCTGAGCAGCTGCACTTGGTCGAACAAACACATATTTATCCTAATCAAAGAGACAAAATTATTATTAAAAAACCCAACTCTCAAAAAGTCACTTCTTTTATCTACCAAACCCACTTTCATTGGCCTTCTGTTCATTGGGGCACTGAAATTTGGGGGAAACACCTTACCACTTCTATGTCCTTCTTCAGCTGAAGATTATGGCTTTCTTTGCTCCCAACAGATGATATCTTGAAAATGAAAGGCCTGAGGGGACCATCTGTATGTATTCTATGCCATGTGGAGGAGGAGACCTTCGATCACCTCTTCTTTAATTGCAACTTCTCCCAAAAAGTTGTGAATGAGTTATTGCCCAAGTTCAAAATTGATACAATGAATAGATACAATGAATCTCAGCTGGTTCAACTTCTTCAACTGCTGGGAAGAGTGGAATCAGATCAATTTACAGGTTATTCCTTGTATAGTGGCTTTGTTTATATGGGTGGGCTGGAA